CTATTTCACTATATTCTAAGGTTGTCCATTCAGCGTTAGGGGCCATTCACAAATTGTATGGCGTGAAGAATTTAGTGAGCGGTGGTTTATCGTTTTGTTAAATTGTGTCACATGTGGTGGGGGTGGTCGAGAGTATTGTGTCACATGTGGTGGGGGTGGTCGAGAGTATTGTGTCACATGTGGTGGGGGTGGTCGAGAGTATTGTGTCACATGTGGTGGGGGTGGTCGAGAGTATTGTGTCACATGTGGTGGGGGTGGTCGAGAGTATTGTGTCACATGTGGTGGGGGTGGTCGAGAGTATTGTGTCACATGTGGTGGGGGTGGTCGAGAGACCTATTACGAAAATTTCTATTTTTATTTCTGCTTTTCAAATTTAAAAAATGAGCATAGATGATAAAATCTAAATTTTAATTTTATTTATTTTATTTATTTTTTTGCTTACTTCATCTTTTTAAATTTAATTTCATTACAATTACAGCACTTCTTTATGTTCATTGATTTACTTTTCTTGAAAGCGCACAACAAAAACTCTTTTCATAAGAATCTTCATTTGGTGTCTTTAATTAAGAATTGGATTAACTGTAATTATCGGGAACTTGAGTTGGTGTAACTATTGGCAACTTCAGTTGGTGTAAATATTGGGCTCTTGAGTTTCAGTAAATAGTATGCACTTAAGATGGTGTAAATATTGGACACTTCAGGTGGTATAATATTGACACTTGAGGTGGTGTAAATATACGACACTTGAGTTGTTGCTAAAAATATCGGGAACTTGAGTTGTAAATATTGGGCTCTTGAGTTCCGGTGGTTGAAGGCCGGTCGGGTTAGCGAGGTAGGGCGATAAAGTTGTATTAATTGATTTTAAAATGTGATGCCTCCACCACTTAGACACATCCACTCCACTGCAAGACCAATGCACATTACACTCCAGTTCAACACCAATACACATCCACTATACTCAACCACCAATACACATCAACTCCACCAGGATACACATACATCCACCCCACTACCAACTTAGCAAATCTGTACATACGAAAGGTTGATACTTAATTTTGTACAAGATACTGACAGGATTTTAAAAACTCTTTTCTCTTGTTTAACGTACAACGTTTTGTCCCCTCCCCTCAGAAGTGACTCACAGAACAGCATGAGCACTCTCATCGAGGACCCCGCCATCCCTCTCGTGGGACTTAATGGCAAGCACGGTGGCAAGGGACGGAAGGCCAAAAGTAAGCTGTACACCATGCGTCACAGAGGTCGAGGCGACTGTGAAGGCCCACCAGCCAAGAGGTTTGAGAACGTCGGGATAAGACTCGCCCTGAGAAAGGAACTGTACGCCAAACGAAAAAAAACATGCGACATGTCTTGTGCCATAGCCATGATGGGTAGGAAAGAGTTAAATACATGTCTTTTGCCATAGCCATGCTGGGTACGAACGGGTTAAATACTTTTGTTTATGTTTAGATTGAAGTGTTTACTTAGCAAAGTGTAAAGTCATTATTATTTTATAAACCTTAAAATGTATATGTATGAAAGTATTTGTTAAAAGTTGATTAATAATAGCCTTGGTTGTGTTATCCACTGACACAACTTTATGAGCGTCACGCTCCGATGGTACTCTGACCATATTATAACATCGTGTGAAAGCGTCCTGTCGTACGTACAGATGAGATATATATATTATTAAAACCGGACGGGCCACTACTTGGATTGTAATCTGAGAGTCGCTGGACACGCGCAGGTTACGAGGTCCCTTTTTCAGACTCCCTGGACACCACCAGGTTGCGATGTCACTTTGTGAGACTCGCTGGACACGCACAGGTTATGACGTCACTTTCAGAATCTCAGCTGTCACAATTTAGGCTCCCGTCATTTTGACTTTCAACTCCTGTGCTCGGCAATAATTAAATTTGTTGTTAAGTCATCGATCTGACGAAGATAATAATCAATAGTATTTAAAAAGCCTCCTACGCATGACTCAAGCACACTTCTCACCGAAACAGGTTAACTTTTTTAGTGCAATATCGAATATGGCCACAAATGCCATTGAAAAATTAACGATTTAACCCCCCAAAGGACAGGCCCTTAAGGGCAAAGTCAAGACGACCTAAACTTTTGGTAAACGTGTTTTTTGGTGTGTTTTTTCCCCTTGTTTTTCATCTTTATGTAGACGACTTAATACTCTCCAACCTGTGTTGGTCTGGGGCTAGGCTGTGTTGGTCAAAGGGCGTGGCTGTGTTGGTCTGGGGGCGTGGCTGTGTTGTACGATTTTTATAGATTCAGCAAAGCAATTTGGAATTTTCTTTAAGGAGGGCAAAATGCGTCTTGCCACATGGAGAGAATTGTCGGCAAAGAAAAGGAAAGTATCGGACTGCACATTTGCTTTAGCTCTTCTAGGTAGGGTCATTTTTCGTAAACGCTGTATTTATTGAAAAAGAATTTTGAAATGATCGGTACTTAGTTATGGTAAAATTAGCAACTCCTATGCCATAGAATACGGAGTAGGTGACATCCCTCTCCAGACACCCCATTTTTTTATCTGCACTTCCCCCAACCAGTGATCTTTTCAGAGAATTTGATCCCAGGGGCATTTCAGGTGTTGGGGTGGGGCCTAGTACATTTATAAAATTAAATACCAAAAGTAGGCATAATGGCCCTACATTAACTAAATTCACCAATTTTTGGCATCACCCTGGGGGTATGCCTTTTGCCTAATCTTATTTTCTACCCTGGATGCTGTAAAGACAAATAGTATCCACTTAAGTCCACTTAAAATGAAAAAGAAATGAAATTTTATTATGTTTTTTTCAGTTAAGAATACCATTCTATTACTAACATCTACAAGTTTCTTTGCATAGATACAAAGGTTCTAGTAATGTTACTCTGATCGTGGGTGGTGGAAGTGGAATTGAAAGGGGAGGTGTGTGGGGATGAATGTGAACTCCTTCCCAGAAGATTGTTGCGAAATTTAAAATCAAGGAATGTATTTTGACGAATACCTTAATTCAGTTTTGTATCAATAGAAAAACAGAAATGTTGTATCAATATAGAAAAGATGTATCAATAGCGAAACAGAAAAGTTGTAGGCCTATCAAAAGAGAAACAGAAAAGCTGTATCAATGGAGAAACAGAAAAGATATATCAATAGGTAAACAGAAAAGCCGTATCAAAAGAGAAACAGAAAAGTTGGACAAAAAAAACAGAAAAGATGTAGGCCTATCAATAGAGAAACAGAAAAGCTGTATCAAAAGAGAAACAGAAAAGCTGTATCATAATGAAACAGAAAAGTTGTATCAATAGAGAAACAGAAAAGCTGTATCAAAAGAGAGACAGAAAAGCTGTATCAAAAGAGAAACAGAAAAGCTGTATCAATGGAGAAACAGAAAAGTTGCAACAATAGAAAAACAGAAAAGATGTTGGCCTATCAATAGAGAAACAGAAAAGCTGTATCAAAAGAGAAACAGAAAAGCTGTATCAAAAGAGAAACAGAAAAGCTGTATCAATGGAGAAACAGAAAAGTTGCAACAATAGAAAAACAGAAAAGATGTAGGCCTATCAATAGAGAAACAGAAAAGCTGTATCAATAGAGAAACAGAAAAGCTGTATCAATAGAGAAACAGAAAAGCTATATCAATAGAGAAACAGAAAAGCTGTATCAATAGAGAAACAGAAAAGCTGTATCAATAGAGAAACAGAAAAGCTGTATCAATAGAGAAACAGAAAAGCTGTATCAATAGAGAAACAGAAAAGTTGTTGCAAATGTAGGTGTGTCTTAACCTGGTTGTTTTTAAAGTATTACATAAAACTTTTTTTTTAAATTTTGCTTTGATATTAAAAAGTGAAAATCAGTTTAGAAAATAATATAGGCCTCTATCTGTATTAAAAAATTATTTTTTACTTTCTGGTACCTGTAAACTATGTCCCAAAAAGTAACGAATTTCAAGAAAATTCAAACGATTTGAATTTAAAAATAATTAATGAAACTTGCACCATTTGAAATCTTAATTTGTTTAAATATGTAGTGAATTTGTTTAAAGCTTTCGTTTGTATTTAGCTCAACAATCGCGGAATCATGCTACATTTAAAATAATGCTATGATTCTTACAGAAAGATGATATTAATATTTATAGACTAAGTGTGTTAAAGTTGATAGCATTTTTATTAAGAAAATTATTTTTAACACATTTTCAGTGTTTAATAATTAAGATAAGATACAATTCGTTTAGTGCTTCAAATAAATGGAAATGTGTTTTAATGGCATTGCACATATTCATTTTCAGCACATGGATAGAAAAAAATAGCAAGAACTTTTTAAAAAAAATTAGAATCATAGGTAAAATATATCTTTGGGAAGTTTGAATCAAAAAGATTAAAAATACTTGGAATCGCATTCTCTATCTAGATTTGTCTTAAGTATTCGGATCATTAAATGTATCGACGGCAATGATATTTGGTTGCAGTATTTCCCTTTAACTCATTTTCATCGGTGCACGTGCAAGTTAGGACTACTATTTGTTACTCTTTTTAAAATGTTTTGAAATAAAAATTTAGATATCTTTACTAGGCCTATAGTATGTTGATATTGTTGTACTCATTTTTCTAGGGGGGGGGGGGGGGGGCCCTGAACTTTTCCCGAGGGGGGGGGGGGGCCGGCCCCCCCCCCCAGGGCACTGACCCCACCCCCTCGGAGAACTGGCTGAAAGAAGCACTGCATATGTTAATGGCAATTGTTGGTAGTTTTTGTATTCAAATGTGTTAAAAAATACCATGCGACCGTTACAATTCTGTTCATGCAAATGAGTTTAAACTTTCATTTGTAGTTTGATAATGGACAAACGGGTAAACGGAAATATGATTTCAAAGTGAGACACAACCAATGGATCCAATTATTTTAAGTATTTAAAGCTATTAATGACAATGAATAATGAGCTATTCGGCCGCTCTTTGAAGAGTGACCTTGACATTCAAAAATGGTATTAAATTACTGAACTTGTTTTCTTATTCACCCCTCTGCAGGTATCATGTTAATGATCCTAGAGACAGAGTTATCGGCTGCTGGCCTTATCAGCCGGAAGGACGTCACCTCAATCCTCATCAAGATGTGCATCACTGTGTCCACCGTGGCCCTCCTGACCTTCATCTGCATCTACCACAAGCTCGGAATCCAACTCTTCACCGTCAACAACAGCATGGACGACTGGCGCCTCGCCATGAGTCCGCGCCGCATCATCTCCGCGGTGGCCGAGCTGGTCATCTGCGTGGTCCACCCAATCCCGGGGGAGTTCTACATCACCTGGGCAACCACCGAATCCGACGGGAACGTCTCGGAAACGGCCAAAGTTCCACTCGACGTTGTGCTTTCCCTCCCCATGTTTTTAAGACTGTATCTTGTCTGCCGCTTCATCATGCTCCACAGCCGGCTGTACCAAGACGCGTCCTGCCAGAGTCTCGGCGCGCTCAATCGCATCCACTTTAACTTCCGGTTTATCTTCAAATCTTTCATGGCCCTGTACCCGGACTATTTTCTGTGCGTTTTCATGATTTCCCTTTTCATAATCACCAGCTGGACGCTACGCCTGTGCGAGATGTACAACGATGCTTTGCACGCGCGCGTCCACGGTAACTTCTTCAACTCCATGTGGCTAATCGCCATCACCTTTCTGACGGTGGGGTACGGAGATATAGTGCCGCTCTCCTACTGCGGAAGGGGGATAGCCGTTCTCACCGGAATCATGGGAACTGGCTGCACGGCGTTGGTCGTTGCGGTCCTCGCTCGAAAGCTGGAGCTCTCGCAGGCTGAAAAATACGTCCACGACTTTGTCATAGAGATCGAACTCGGGAACAAGCTGAAAGTCGAGGCGGCCAACATCGTCAAGTGCGGCTGGAAGCTCTACAAACTTCACAGGATCTCCGACAAAACGAAGCAGCAGGAAAAGTTGGTGCTCCACCTGCAGACCAAGCTGCTACACGCCATCTACAACATACGTGAACTGAAGAACAGACGTCGACGGCTCACTGACAATGCGGTGACCCTGGTGGAGGTGAACAAGTCACAGTACGAAGTGTCCAGGGCTATTAATTCGGTCAAGTTGAGACAAATTTCGCTGGAGGAGAAAATAGTGTCAATGGAATCCACAGTAAATTTGATCTATGAGAAACTGTGTTCGTTGAATCAGGAACAGCCCAAGAAGTCGATTAAAAATTAAGATTGTAAAAGAAATTTTCTTTTAGCAAACGTGCTGACAAATCCATCAATTAAAAACAGATGCTATTTTCTTTATGGGCCAAGTTTAGTCATTCGTATATACATATCAATGTTACCTTTTGGAATGATATTGTTGTGAACAACCTTGACCTATCCGAGATATCTATGGGACTTTTTAACACCTTGTCTTTTATTTTAATCCTAATTCCAATTTTACCAAAATGATAATGTCTTACTTTTAACATGTTAAAATATTTGAGGTTTTAATTCATGGATTAAAAACATGCTTTACAAACATCAACATTTAAACTCTCAATTTAACTCATTGCTTTATAAACACCAACTTGATTAAACTCTCATTTTGACTCATTGCTTTAAAATCACCAACTCATTTGAACTCTCATTTTGTTGTAATTTTCTTCTTTTTAGCACCATTGTCAATGCGAGTCATTTATTTTCTTTGACATATGAAGCTTTTTTTAGTGAGTCATTGGCTCATTGTATCGCGTCCTTAGCTCATTGTATTGAGCCATTGGCTTATTGTATCGCGTCATTAGCTCATTGTATTGAGTCACTGGCTCATTGTATTAAACATTAGCTCATTGTTTTGAGTCATTGGCTCCCTGTATTGAGTCAGTGGCTCATTGTATAGTCATTGGCTCATTGTATTTAGTCATTGGCTCATTGTATTGAATCATTGGCTCATTGTATTGAGTCATTCGTTCATTGTATTGAGTCAATGGCTAAGATTAATGAGTCATTGGATAACGGTATTTGGCTATTGGATCATTGTATTAAGTCATTGACTCAGTGTTTATGGTCAGTGGCTCACTGTATTTGGCCATTGGCTCCGTTTATTGGGTCAATGGCTCAGTGTATTGGGTCATTGGGGCAGTGTATTGTGTCATTGGCTCAGTGTATTGTGTCAATGGTTTAGTCAGTGTAATGGGTTATTGGCTCAATCTACTGGGTCAATGAATTAGTGTATTGGGTCATTTGGTCAGTTAATGTATTGGATCATCGGCTCATGTTGGCCTAGTGACGATTTTGATGCATCATTGACACCCCTAGCCTGGTCAATGACTTGGCCATAGATGTCTTAAGCTGTATTATTTCACCAAGTCTTTCGTTGTTATCTAATGCACACAGGCGTAGGAAGATAGGTGGAGTGTGTGCTGCTGCCAATGCACAGAGGCGTAGGAAAATAGGTGGAGTGTGTGCTGTTGCCCATGCACACTGGCATAGGAAGATACGCGGAGTGTGTGTTGCTGCCAATGCACACTGGCATAGGAAGATAAGTGGAGTGGGTGTTGCTGCCCATGCACACTGGTGTAGGTAGATAGGTGGAGTATGTTTTGCTGCCAATGCACACTGGCATATGAAGATAGGTGGCGTGGGTGGTGCTCCCCAGGCGGCACATGCGTTCTTCATTTCGAGAGGCGGCACCAACCCTAGCTGCGGCACTGGAAATACATTTGATTTGGGTTTTTTTTTTTTTGTTTTTTTTTTTGTTGTTTTTTTTTTTTTTTTTATTAGAAATACTTTATTTCACGTACAAGTTTTCATCCAAGATACATTTGAAATCGATAAAAATGAATGGTCATTACTCAATCCAAAAATAAATACATTTGATTTGGGTTTTTTTTTTTTGTTTTTTTTTTTGTTGTTTTTTTTGTTTTTTTAATAAGAAATACTTTAATTCACGTACAAGTTTTCATCCAAGATACATTTGAAATCGATAAAAATGAATGGTCATTACTCCAGACAAAAATAGTGGATAACATTGTTTAATACCCTTCGATAAGAACAAATTAAGGCTCCAAAGCTGTATCTTGACAGTTGAAGAGAACTTTGGTCTCTTATAGGTCCAGAGTATAAGCAACATGCAGTTTTTTGTTGTTGTTTTTTGGCGGGGGTGGGGGGATTGAGGGTGGGGTGATTATGTTGCAATTTTGTCTTTTTTTATATTTTTTTTTATTGCTGTTATCGTAGCTATTCAACGTCAGAGTTACCACTTGATTTGTTTATGGTTGCTGTTATCGTAGCTATCTATTGTCAGATTTACCACTTGATTTTTTTCATTGTGATGTCAAACCATCTGTGATGATTTGTATATAAACTCTTATATAAATGAATGAAATGTTCCACTTGTGATACACAACTAGTACACATAGTAGTGTAAACATCAGCTGCACATATTGTGCTTACAACAACTACACACATTTGTTTCAAAATCAGCTACAAATAATGTGATACGCAGCCACTCCGCACAGTAGTGTAAAGATCAGCTTCGCATAATGTGGTACATTACTAACACACACACACACGCACTAGTGCCAAACATCAGCTACACATAAAACTAATTACGTCATTGGCTTGGGGGTGGGCAGTCGGGTCTAGGGGTCCATGATTAAAATGCTACATGACCTTAATTTGAACATGTTCACCTGCATCTTTGCATCTTTAATCATCTGTATTCTCAGAGTTTCCTAATCATCTCAGCGTACAAATGAAATGTTACATGTTGAAATTAAAGGATGGCAATCCTTTATTTTACATTCAGGGGGCATTATTAGCCATTGCTATTTTATTTAAGGACATCCAGTTACCGTTAGAGTAGTTCTACTTCCATCAAAGGTCAAGAGAAAAAGTGAGAATAAAAATATATGTTGGAAATTTTTTGCTATATCAGTTTTAATACTTGAACATAAAAATATTCTGGTGTAAAGAAAGTATTTCCGAAAGAATATTCCAAATCTTACTTTTGTTTTTATTTCATGTTAAATAAATTTTAAAACAATCACTTTGGTATGTATTTCATGGCTTACTTAAAATAACATTGATGTACAACCCAAAAAAAAAAAAGACAATTTTTAATTCGTATTTTTATACTAAACCGTATTTTCGTTTCAGAACTATTCTAAATTTTATTTATGTTTGAATATTTACTTATTCATTTACCACTTTCTTACAGTTAAAGTTAAACTTGAGTATCGCTGATAAGACAGCTGAAGATGTTTAACATCAACCACTAAACATCATAACTGATGGCCGGTGGTCTGGAAAAATACTGATGTTCGGAGTTGAAGAGTGTTGGACTGCGACAAATCTTTCAGACAAAGTAGACAAAAACAATTTCTTTAAATAAAACAAATATCAGTTCGGCTTAAATCATGTTCATACAGAGCACAAATGTGAACATTTCCGCAAAGGGAATTAATATTTTGTTTTATTTGTGTAGTCTAGTATTTTCAAATATCTTCCAAATAAAATGTAGCCTAGTATTTGTAGATCTTTCCGATAAAATGTAGCCTAGTATTTTTAAATATCTTCCAAATAAAATGTAGCCTAGTATTTGTAGATCTTTCCGATAAAATGTGGCCTAGTATCTTGCGCTAAGATGGGGAGCTAAAATACTCTCAGACAGACTAATCTCATTTACCTTGTCACAAGAAGACAGATATTTTCTGATGAATCTGCTTTCGGCTTCTGGCCTCAGCAAATATCAATCGAGAAACACAAACAGCTAGCTTTGAGGCTTAAGTATTTACGGTGGCATTCTTCTGTTTCTTAATGTCGACCTATTGTTGTCAAATCTTAATATTAATGGGCCTAAATATTGGTTGCTAAAAGCTCTTACTTGGACAAAGTGCTTTGGGATCGCAAGGGGTGAACAGTCAACTTTATTAAATTAATCCTTATGACCTTCATAAGACAAGATAAGATTCTTTTATTGATCCCAAGAATTTTTTTTTTTAAATTACATTGTACATACATGTATTCATTTTCAGCAAATATATATGTAGTAGTGTGGTGGTTGTGGTTGACTTAGGTGACAACGCCAAAAACTGTAGTAGTGTGGTGTGTGGTGATCCTGCCGACGACGCCAAAACTGTAGTAGTGTGGTGGTTGGGGTTGACTTAGGTGACAACGCCAAAAACTGTAGTAGTGTGGTGTGTGGTGATCCTACCGACAACGCCAAAAACTGTAGTAGTGTGGGTGTTGTTGGGTGACCCTGGTGCCACAGACAGTTACTACTAAACAAATGAAGAAATGTAGGTCTCCAGGACTAGACTATAGCTTTATTAATGTTCTACTATGAAGAAAAATGTGTATGAAAAATACACTACACTTGAAGAAAAAGAAAAAGGACAATATAGAGCGTTCCAATGGGCCGCACTGAACAAAGGCACACGGCAGGTATGCTGGCCAACGCTCGAAATGACCCCTAATTCGTGTGCTCCCCTTTTTAAAGCCGAGCCCCTACGTCACACCAAACCGAGTCGGTCTACGTTTTGCCTTCTGGCCAGTTTCCTGGGGTAAAATGACTAATTCTGGGGACTACTCCCGAGTAATAATTAAAATCTTTGTCCACATCCCTAACGACTTATATGTGATATGTGCAGTTTTGTCTTAGCTATCTAAGATACTATTTTATATTTTTATGACTTAAATAGTTTTTGAGATATTTTAACTAGAAGGGGTGGGGACCACTATAGATGAAGGCGAAAACTCCTTTAATGACTAAATATTAAAATATCCTCCAACGATGGAAACTTGTAAATATGCTAAGGTATAGTGAATAAAATCCCCTTTCTAACTAGATGTAATTTATAACTTAATAGGCTAGGGTTCCCGAGAAACAAATTATTGAATTTCTAACCAATGCGCACATCGTGGTATTTTATTATTTCCTCCCTATGCGCCGGCCGTATAGTGACCGTCCGGGTGGGGGGGGGGGGGGACAAGGGATACCTGTTACGCACCGCGCCAGTGCTCCTACACACAAGACATGGTTTACGTAACGGGTCTAATAGTGGGTTGGGGCATACACTGCCACCCCAGACATGGTTTACGTAACGTGTCTAATAGTGGGTTGGGCCATACATCCTATGCGCCGGCCGTATAGTGACCGTCCGGGTGGGGGGGGGGGTGACAAGGGATACCTGTTACGCACCGCGCCAGTGCTACTACACACAAGACATGGTTTACGTAACGGGTCTAATAGTGGGTTGGGGCATACACTGCCACACCAGACATGGTTTACGTAACGTGTCTAATAGTGGGTTGGGGCATACACTGCCACATATAAATGTATGTTATATTTTACAATTAAAACAATTTAAAGGGAGGACATCTGGAGTATTTCTCTAGCGTAAAGATCAGCCATCATAAAACACAAGAAAACTGCATTTGTGACAATAATGCTTTCATTAGTGATGACCGGTAATTAGATCATTCGGTAAACGCTGTGGGAGCACGCTGATAAATTCTGACAGACTTGGTTAGAACAAAGTTTTATAGACAAGATTTCTTTATTAGTCTATTAACTCGGTGTTTGATGAATCCTCACAGCAGCAGGTAATACTTAAGTTCAGTAGGCTTCTAGTCTTCTGGTTGTTGCACTGTAGAATAAGTTAATTAAGGTTTGTTTTTTTTTAGGCTGAAATTGCACCGTTTTGTTTAAATATAGAAAAGTTTTGGGATCACTTTTGTTAGACAGAATTTGTTCATGCTACGTTAAGATAATTAATATTAATGGTTACACTTAAATGCATCTGCTTGCTCTATTACTGTGATGTTTGTGTTGGTCGGTCTGCAATTTGGTCACTCCCCCCCCCCTCCAGGCATTGACAACGCGAGTCTTTCGACTTTTAAACATTTCAATTGAACCGAAGAAACTGTTCATTGCACCAACTTACAAAGCACGTAACTAAGGTTCGTTCAAAGCTTTGCCCGTCAATATTATTAAGTCAACGATGGTGGTATCATCAGCAAATTTAATAATTGGAACATTGTTGCTTGGGCTCTGGATAGCATGGCGTATATTGTATACGGGACTGTTGGTGCAAACTTGTGGTGCTCGTGTCCTTGGTTCTTTAGTTAATGATTCTTGGTCATTCACCTTGACGTATTGTGGGCGATATATGTTTAAAAGTTTGAATATTTGAGTTTACACCTAACGAGGAAAGTTTTTTTTTAATCGTAAGCTGTATTTGGATAGTGTTAAAAATGGTGACAAGAATTCTAGGTAAAGCATCCTGGCATAGTTTTAGAGCTGTCTGAGTGATTGTAAAGTCTTTACAATGATTAATATGATGACATCCTTGGTACTTCTGGCACATTTATTGCGTATTGATAGGGAGGCAAGTTTTTGATGTACTGCATTTTAAAAGTGTATGAGGATACGTTTCTTGAAACATTTCATTACAACAGACGTAAGTGTAACAGGACGTAAGTCGTTATTGCAAGCGACTTTATTTGTCTTAGGTATTGGTGTCATTTCTGAAGTTTTCCATATCTTCGGTATGGTATGAGTGTCATAAGATTGATCAAATATGTTACAAAAGATGTCGGGAGAGCTGTTCTGAAGAGAGTTTAATCAGCGGTCCACTTAATGTGTCTGGCCCCGACGTCTTGGCTGCATTCACTTGTTTGAAGTGTCCAAGCCAGGTTTCGCACCCAGGTGACACCCCGACGTCTTGGCTGCATTCACTTGTTTGAAGTGTCCAAGCCAGGTTTCGCACCCAGGTGACCCCCCGACGTCTTGGCTGCATTCACTTGTTTGAAGTGTCCAAGCCAGGTTTCGCACCACGTGACCCCCTCATAGGGGTCACATCAAAGGTCGTCAACTTAATAAAAATAAAGTTTACTGACAAATTTTCTTAAAATTCACCAATTCTTTACGGAAATAATTTTTTTTTCAAATCACATTTTTTAAAGTTTTGTTTCTGAAACTAATGAAGCTAAGAAATTAAATATCCGTACGACCGTGCGACCATAGTTCTATGACACTATGTCATTGGCACTAGGTCAAATATAAAAAAAAGTCTGTTTCTATTACCACGAGACATGCGCCTACTTTTAAACATTAGCTTGTGGTAGTAGTGTATTGTAAGAGATTCTCACCAGTTCTCTCTTCATTATAGATCTACAAAGTTAGATCAAAATTGAATTTTTAAAAAAACGTTTGTTCCGTGTCTCATTTTTTAAGGACATCATAAAGTTATTTTTAGCTCTAATTTATTTCAGACTGATGGTAAACTTACACCGTGTCAAACCTGGTGACACCAAATGGTGAACAAATGGTAAACATTTCAAAACTGACATTTCTCGCTCGAGTCGGTTTCATAAGATATCTACAATAATACAAGAGCAAGATGCCAACAGAATTGGTTGACAAAAGAACAGGTTGGCACGAGAAAAGGTTGACAAAAGAACAGATTGGCACAAGAACAGGTTGACAAGAGAAAAGATTGACACAAGAACAGGTTGACACAAAAACAGGTTGACACAAGAAAAGGTTTACACAAGAACAGGTTGACACAAGAACAGGTTGACACAAGAACAGGTTGACACAAGAACGGGTTTACACAAGAACAGGTTGCCAAAAGAAGAGATTGATACAAGAAGAGATTGATACAAGAACAGGTTGACAAAAAAACAGGTTGACATAAGAACCGAGCGCCACAAGATTAGACTGTGCTCAGTGCGTCTAATGCGTTTTTCTCAATTTTAGTCGCGTAACTTTAGTATGTGACGCCTCTGGTTCTCGTAAAATAAGTATGTGACGCCTCTGGTTCTCGGTAAATTTTACTGATGTATATAAACCAAATCTACAGAGTATGCTTATAACAGATCATCATCATCAGTGGCACTCCAGCCCATGCTTATAACAGAGCAAAACATTTATTGTGTGTTATTACACAAGAAGACAGTTGCTTGTTAAATAGAACAACTTTTCAATCTCAGTAACATTGAGTTAATCATCTTTAAATTCAACAAAATTGATTGGATTCAAACCAAAACTTAACACATCCGTCAAATGAACACATCCGTCAATTGAACCCATCCGTCAATTGAACACATCCGTCAATTGAACAAATCAATAAGATGAACACATCCGTCAGATGAACACATCCGTCAATTTAACACATCCATCAATTGAACAAATCAGTAAGATGAACACATCCGTCAGATGAACACATCCGTCAATTGAACACATCCATCAATTGAACAAATCAGTAAGATGAACACATCCGTCAGATGAACACATCCGTCAATAACACAATTTGTCAAATAAAACATCCATCAGATGAACACATCCATTATATATTTATATTTATAAAGTTTTGCGCCCCTGATAACTGTGCCAGTGTGGCATCCTTTTATCTGGTACCACCAGGCACCAAACATCCATCACTCATAAAAACACCAGAACCCTTATCGAATATCCCCCCAAGCCCCCAACCCACCAAACTTTTTTCCCTTTAACTCTGTGTCACTTCATCGTATTTTTTTTTTTTTTAAGGAACACAAAAAATTATGGATTTTACAGTTAAAATGGATTTTTAAAACTCAACCCAGTGAAACTCAATTACTTGGTAGATTATCTTTCGGTTCATATATGAACTACACAAAATATTAAATGCAAATTCACTGTTTTATATTTTAGAGGTATGTACATTTTTTTTTATAACTTACGTATATGTATCAAATAAGTATTAACTTTAAGATTCTCATTTATGCCCCGCTATTGAAAGAATTTTTACCCAACAGTTTCCCAAATTAACTAATTTTAAAATTGTTCTATTCCCTTTTTCACACAACTCCATATCTGCCACTGCTAGACCCTGACATGACTAGACACAACTCCATATCTGCCACTGCTAGACCCTGACATGACTAGACACAACTCCATATCTACCACTGCTAGACCCTGACATGACTAGACACAACTCCATATCTACCACTGCTAGACCCTGACATGACTAGACACAACTCCATATCTACCACTGCTAGACCCTGACATGACTAGACACAACTCCATATCTACCACTGCTAGACCCTGACATGACTAGACACAACTCCATATCTACCACTGCTAGACCCTGACATGACTAGGCACAACTCCATAACTACCACTGCTAGACCCTGACATGACTAGGCACAACTCCATATCTACCACTGCTAGACCCTGACATGACTAGGCACAACTCCATATCTACCACTGCTAGACCCTGACATGACCGGACACAACTCTATATCTACCACTGCTAGACCCTGACATGACCGGACACAACTCCATATCTGCTACTGCTAGACCCCGATATGACCGGAGAAAACTCAACATCTGACACTGCTAGACCCTGACATGACTGAGTACAAAATTTAAGTTTCTGTAGTAGGACACGTTCACTGACTCGGCATCTATAAAGTTACTTTTTGTTTCATTGTACAACCGTTCCTCCAAACAGCTGACAACTAACGGGTCTTCTCTGATGTGAAATGTTGATGCGAAGAGTTTCTTGCTTCTCAGCATCTCCGGAAGGTCGCCTGAGAGTAGAAATATTTATTGATTCAATAGACTAACATACACATAGGAACCAAAGGACTAACATGAATTAATAAAACAAATGGTCTACAATCACAGTTATTAAAAATTGTGTAACATACCATATTGCTTAGATTTAATCAGATCTACGCTTCGTTATTAAATATTGTACTTGACATATCATCAATGTTATACAGAATCTTCTTATCTGTCTGTCGGTATAATGTAAGTAGGAGAAATAAATACGTTAGAATTCACTGGTGTTACGTCAGAGAAATAATACGTTAGAATTCACTGGTCAAATCATTGACTCACCAAAACTCAAGACACAATCAGCGTTATCCCATCTGCCAGACTTGCAGGCTTGGTCCACTGACGTGTTGGTTACTCTGTACTGACTAATGTGAGGCTTGGTGTAATAATCGGACTCCTCTACAGCTTTAATAAATCAATTCAAATAAATTGGTTAAAATAAGTGTATACATTAACATTTAAATGAACGGCGATTGAAGGTGGAAGTAGACACTCCCTCAGGGATACATTTATCTTAAACTTAAATATAACACGATTAAAAAATGATTACCTATATGAGAACCGGGAGCTTCAATGTTTGGATTATGGTTGAGAGTTGAGAAGAAAATCTCGTGGTGATGACTTTTCAACGCTTTGACCCATTCCAGAATACTTTCAGCCTCAGTGTGGTGCAACGCATAATCTACAAATGCCCGACTTGCTGCCATGTGAGGAGAGCCTCGGAAAGGGCGATGCCAGTAGTGAATGTCGTGATCAAACGGCCATTTCTCTGCATGTTCGCTTGGGAAAAATATAGTCAATTGTTAAGAATGTTGCAATTCAAATAGCGAAACTTTTAAACCCATTTTGTCCAAGAAATATTCACGAAAAATACGTTTTTGTGCGCACCTAACGTCATGTGTGATTTCCACAATTATAAGATACGCACAGGTCTAAAAAAAATTTGATCGACTGAATAAGTCATAATTATGCATAATCTAGCCAAGAACAAAAAACTAACCAATCATCATCGAGGTTTTAAAAAGGCGAACACTCTATCGCAATAATGGTCCTGATGAAAGATTTCACAAAGATCTAAAATGGCAAAATTAAGGGAAGTCTGTGGCAGGACTTTGTACTTACATTGAAACATTTGTACATTTGCAACGATACCTTTCTACATACAATGAAAAATGTGTACTTACAATGGTACATTGGAACTGACAACGCCATTTTTAAACGCTATTTCATACCATGCCATGGTCAACAAGATAGAAAAAAACAACTGACCGCCATTTCTTACCCATTCCGGGATGCGTGCACATCGTTTGCGCCATCCAGTGATTGAAGGATCTGCACAAGCTCGGCGTTGGACTTTAATGGGAACTCTTTCTCGTTGAGGTTGATGAAATACTTCCACCTAGTGAACGGCCACAGCGTCTCCAGACAGGAGAGCTCAGCGTCAAGGGCAGAAAAGCGATCCCACTCAACAAATACTCTTCTTATCGGGAGAATCACATTAGGCAAACAAGAAGAAATTGACTCGTATGCTTTATACAAGGCTTCAGACTGCATAGTGACGTGCACACAGTAATAGTTTTGGGGTCTGTAAATTGCTCGAAGCAGACGCTCTGACATCTCCATTTCCTCGGAGACCATAATGGAGAAAGCGATAGGGAACTCAAGTTCTTCCCGAGACAGGGGATATAGAATATAACCCCTCTGAAGTGTGAACAGTTTACAGTCGCGGGTTAAAGTTGCATACGCACTGGGAGTCCACGTGGTCTTCAATTGTGTGAGTGTCTTGGATAACTGGACGCCCGTGTCGATGTCCTTGACACTTCCGTGGATCGTGGCCGCGCAGTCAACACGCCTCTCCCGTAACGGAGGGATGACGCGGTTAATGACGGAATCGATGTCGTCATCGTCGTAGATCGAAGTGTCCCCAACTGGTCCAAAACTGTTTCGAAGTTCTGTGTTGGGAAGAAAAGGATAGCTGACGATCATAAGAAGTAAGGAGACCGCCAGCAGTCCAATCGAAGCCCGCCTTCTTGTGGGCACCAGCCAAAACTTGCGACCTCTGTGGAGAGTGAACTTTTAAAGTATTAACAAGAGAGATGTTTGTGTCACAGCATTTATACTAACTTATCATATGTGGGAGAATTTACTATCAGTGGCCTCACTAGGGAGTACCGAGGTGCTAAGTGCACCGGGTAACTCCCTTACGGGGGGGGGGGGTGGCACCAAATGGAATATTCTTAATTGACAGAGTTCGCTCGAGGCGGTTTCAAAGCAGAAAATGGCGCCAGATGAACAGAGTGCCACCAAATCAGGTTGCAACCATAGCAGGGTGCCATCAGAGTAGGTTGCAAACAAAACAGGGTGCCACCAGAACAGAGGGCCACCAGAATAGAGTGCCATCAGAACAGAGTGCCACCAGATCAGGATGCGACCAGGTTGTCAACAGACCAGGGTGTCCCCTCAACAGACCAGGGTGTCCCCCCAACAGACCAGGGTGTCCCCCCCCCCCCAACAGACCAGGGTTTTCCTCCAACAGAGCAGGGTTCCATTAGAGGAGTTTGCAAACAGAACAGCGTGCCATCTGAGCAGAATTTCACCCAGAACAGCGTGCCATCTGAGCAGAATTTCACCCAGAACAGCGTGCCATCTCAGCAGAATTTCTCCCAGAACAGCGTGTCATCTGAGCAGAATTTCACCCAGAACAGCGTGCCATCTTAGCAGAATTTCACCCAGAACAGCGTGCCATCTGAGCAGAATTTCACCCAGAGCAGCGTGCCATCTGAGCAGAATTTCACCCAGAGCAGGGTGCCACCAGAGTAGGGTTAAACATCTCTCCAAAAAATCTCATTAAACTTACAATAATTTATAATGATCTTTATGTCTTTGTCTTGATTTGAGAGGGGTTTTTCAAAACTGGAACTTATAACGAATTATTGTGCACTCAACCATGGATTATTCCAAGACTTCTGTTTATGCACTTGTGTAAGTTAAATGTGTATAAGGTGGGGGAATTTTGATTCTAATGAAGTGGTTGGCATATTTGTAACTTTGAAGACCAGGAAAATAAAGTTTTGAACCACGAAATTTCATGTTTCAATAAAAAAAAGTCATTTTGAAAACGCTGTTAGTTCAAATTCTATGTTTTCTCCCTAACTCTTTTGTTGACTTTATGACATTAAACAATATAATAAACGGTTCCGAATGATCTGGTTACGAATTTATTCGGTGCAGGTACCGGTGTCGGTCGACACCATGGGCTTACCCCACCGAGTGACACCAACCCTAGTGAAGCCCCTTGATATTAATGCTGTTGCAGTAAATATTAATATATGCCGGCAAATAATTTTTAAAAAAAGACTGAGACATTAATCAATAGCTATACGACATTTTGGCTTTTTAAAATTGTACATGGAAAAATGTGTTTCTTATTGAAAGGAACGTATTCCTTGCGTTATTGACAATGTAAACGGAAAGTCAAACAGATCTCTAGTCTACTCTACAACTCTACAACTCTCATACTGAAAAAAGTCTTCTACTGCTTTTTTTTTTTTTTTTTTTTCCATTATTTTTTTCCCTGGGTAATTTTTAGAAATCTTAATCAGCTTGGTGGAGCCAGAAAAGTTATAAATAAAGTCAGATAAAAAAAAATCATCAATGAACGCTAAATGCTTACTTTTAATCACCACAATAATAAGTTTCAACAATTTTTGTTTTTATATTTACCTTTGAAGAGCTTTCTTTTTGTCATAATACAACCTAAAGTGCCTGTCTTTAGGCACCGTGCTCAACATCTTGATGCAAGAATCCAGGATTTTTACAGACGGCTAAAATATATTTTAAATTAATCTATTACTTGCTTCAATCTTTTAACATGGCTTCTCTACCGGAAATAGTTTCTTCGTCTCTGCTTGCACAATCAAAATGTTGAAGGGTATTTTTTAATCAATTTTAATCATCTACGTTGGGGGATTTGTTAAATAAAATATTTTAAATCGCGGCGAGAGACTATGCCTTGTATTCTACAATATTTACACATGTTAATTTTCCAATCTAATGGATACAAATTTTGATCACTCTTCAACTGTTACCCTAAGTTTAAAAATGTGCATTGCTGTGCAGTGTGCGGTTAACGTGGGATTTTCCGATAAGTCTAAGTGGACACGCGCAAATCAAGCTGTGCTAATTCCTTCTCATTTAAATTAAAATTGGAGCAAAATATGTTTAGGCTTGAAAATAAGACAGGATAACTACAAGGGAGTATCGGCTAAATGCCTTCTTCAGCAGACAAGACACAACAAGAAATAAGAAAATAAAAAGAAATTTAAAACTTAAGCGTTCGAAGATTTTTATCTCAAAGTAGCCCTCCAAGTCTCTAGACAATCGTGCCATTTTTTTGTCCAAGCCTAAACATAATATTCTTGTTCCACTATTTCAAACGGCTTGAGCGCAGCCTCTCATATATTAATAATGATCCATGACTCTTCATTGCAATTATTTTTGTAGTTTTCGTTGGTGCTTTTGGCCCATCAGATATATAAGAAAAATGGTTGTTACTTTCATTCGATGTTTACAAAATATTAAACTGACATATTAAATTAAATATTTTGTGGCCTAGTGGCTTACTAATTTTCACCCCCCCCCCCCTTTGCCCAACCAAAAAAAAACAAAAAAAAACGGGCCGGTTAGGAAAGATTGGATTAAAGATTAGAAAGTTGTAACATCAAATTGGATGCTGAAGATATGATAAAATCATATGCTGATTTCGTGGTCATTTGTCCGAGGAAACACTACTCAAGTGTTAGATGCGCTACTTGCAAAAAGGTCATTATTATATTTAATTTTGATCATTTTTCGTTCAGCGTTGATATTAAAATTTAGCAGTATTTTATTTGTGTTTTTAAACATATTATGTGTTACAAACAATTCGTTAAAAAGAATTTTAACAAAAATATTAGTTACTGTAAAAAATGTTTGAATTAAATCTAATAAAACAAGATTACTATTGAAAAACATCTAAAAATAAAGAATTTGTATGAGCAGCCAGATCAAGGGACACCTACATTCCTAATACCATCTCTCCAAGCCAATTAAGTGTAGAATGATGAAAAATCAAATTAAGGTATACGCCAAAATGTACCACTGCATTTGGAATTGAGCCACCACTTCGACGACGCCATCCTCTGCTCCCTCCCTGATCTAAATGACAGTTTACAGAACAAAGGCACTGGAAGTTAGCATTTAAAATTATTTTCGTGAACTTAAAAAAGCAATATTTATATTAGTTTTTTTTAGTTTGGTATATTGTCAAACTATATCGTTAACAGGAGCAACATTTATCTGGGACAAAAATTATACCCTCAGGGTGTGCCACTGCCGGGGTGAACTTAAGTTTATTTGTGGTGGGGGGGGGGCGATGTAACTAGAGCTGGCCCTGAGTGACAGTGCCTAAAAAGAGCCACCCACACCCCTCTCCACAGACGCTTTTCATATGAGTTGTCGGAAACACATTGGGCCAACCTGGGCTTCAAACGTTTTTCCTTAAATACTTAAATACGTTAGAGGTGTAGAGCTTGGGTTTGTTCATGGCCGCTTTGAAAGTATTGGGGGGTCCTGGTCAATTAAATGCAGCGAGACCTTCTTTTCCTCTCTAACCTGTCCAAGAGGGGGCTCTGATCAATTTAATGCAGCGAGACCTTCTTTTCCTCCATCGCCCAGTCATACATAAACATACATTCATTCCTGTTGTGGCACCCCCTGAGTGTGTGCTTTTGGCCCCAGCTGAGTTTCACCCCAAAATCTATATAGTCAACTGTTTTTTTAAAAAAATCAATCCAATGAATTATGGCGCAAAATCTTTGCTTTACTTTAATCCCCTCTCCCCCCTCCCCCCACACACCCACACATACCGCCGCCGCCACCACCACCATTACACACACAAACTTAGACAAAGTTCTCTTTTGGCCCCAGCTGAGTTTCACCCCAAAATCTATTTAGTCAACTGTTTTTTTAAAAAAATCAATCCAATGAATTATGGCGCAAAATCTTTGCTTTACTTTAATCCCCTCTCCCCCCCCCCCCACACACCCACACATACCGCCGCCGCCACCACCACCATTACACACACAAACTTAGACAAAGTTCATGAATTTTATTTTTCTATAACAATTATTTATTGTTTTAATGCATTTGATTTTAAAACTAGAAATATCTTCAGAAATACATAGAAAAGCGACTTTCGCACTGAACTTTAAACGTAAATTAAATTGTTAAAAGATATTTTAATATTAATCTTTTTAACTTGATGTTCCTAGATTGCCTAGAAGCGTAATGAAATGCCCCCCTAGCAGAATGAGGCCCGGGGAAATTGCCCAGTGTGCCCTTGCCTTAACACACGCGGAGTGTTTCTTTGTCCAGGGCCCCTGTTTAGACTAATTGTTTGTAAAGGATTTTTTAATCGCGAAAAAGGTGAATACCACGATTCATCATTTATCACACACATACACACACAAAAACAAGATCATTTTGCGACTTCCAACAATGCAATTTTACCGCCATCTATATCTTTTTTTTTTTGTAATCAATGAATGTGGTATCGTCCATACTGTATGAATAACTTTTATTTGACATAGCGAACATTTTTCGGATACTTCGTAATTTGTAAATTAATTAAAAATAAAAGTTTGTCATTTCAGTTTAAAATAGTTACCCGAAAAGTTTAGTGTTTACATAAAAATGTAACATAAATATGACAAAATATAGTATCGATATTTACACGGATTATTTATATCTTCAGTTTTGGGAAATAGAAAGAAAAAACGTTCACACTGTGTTTATTATTAGATCTAACTTAAAAAATTGTTACGAGTTATGAATTATTTTAGAATCAGATGGTAACCGTATCAGTTAAAGTATCCTCTGTCTCAAGAAATGAACAATCAAGACTATTTTGTCCCATCAGAGGTCGCAAGACTTATTTTAGGTAGGTCTGATTAGAGTCTGAAGATCCTTTTCTTAGAATTATGAAAATAGGTAACAGTAACAGAATTGCGTTTTCAAATCGACGAATCTACGCTGATTTATAAAAATAAATCAGTTGAATGAAATTGAATCATATTCATATCTATCTCCTATCATGATATCATCCGATGAGTTTATGAGACTCCTCTCACGAAATTAAGATACTACTCCTTAGTCATAACTGTCATTAGTTCTTATGATTTTCAAATTATTCTATAAATTAATATGTCATTGAAATTTGAATAGGCATAGGACAGTAACAAACCAAAAATAAAATGTTTATCAACTGCATGAAGATATTTAAACAAAATAAAATCTCGCTCAGATTCATTATTGTTCCGTGTTTATCACATGCCCATGCTACATACATTGGGGACTTTCTATTTGTTTTATAATGTATTCTTATTTTTCCTCAAGATATGGTTTCAGGTTTTCTTCTTTCAAATTATTGAACATGATTATCATGCTGGCTGAACCTGGCTTATGAATGATGAGTTTAAAGGCTGGCACATCTTTTCAAGTTAATAATCGGCTCTTAAAGTGTTATTTAATTGCTTTTTTTTTTTTTACATTTAAATAATACTACTGTTGCAAATGAACAAAGTAATTTTATTATAAAATATATTGTTAATTAAGTATTAATTTTTTTTTTTTTAAATTTTAAGGTTAGTCTTATTAAAACACTTTTTTTTATTTCTTTTTTTTTTTTTATATTTAAATAATACTTCTGTTGCAAATGAATAAAGTAATTTTATTATAAAATATATTGTTAATTAAGTATTAATTTTTTTTTTTTTTAAAGTTTAAGGTTAGTCTTATTAAAACACCATCAGCACCTGGGAATAGATCCCCAAATATGATTTTGTCTAGCATTTACTCTACCACATGACAACAAAAGATAATATCTTAAAGCCATATCATATCTTAAGACCAGGCTAATGGAAGTTTTTTTACGTGTTGTACGCAAACCTAGGTCCATGGTTTTGCGAGGCACACCACCATGGTGTTTTTAAAAAAATATAATTCACATATGTTATTTATAATAGAATTTAGGCCTTATTTAAATGAAGTGAAAGTGGTTATTTATCCCTGGCAACCAATCCCAAAATTAACACCTGTGATGAGCCAATAACTATTATTTGTGTTTTAAAAAAATATTTTGATTTAAAACAATCATTTATTATTTATTCATTCTTCCCATTTATATTCTGGATAACCAATTATTTGTATTTATTAACTATCCCACAGCTGCTATTGATAACAGGTGATGTGCAGACAAACATAAAAGACATGACAATTTACATGTGTAATTTAAAAAGTGGAGGTCGTCATTTTTGACAATGAAATTACAGTACCTGATTTTCTGATTTTTTTTCAATCGTAGCCAGTAACCGATTAGTGCCTAATATAAGCCCTATTTATTGAGTAGGTTATTAAAGTCAATGTACATTTTATACCCCCCATAATAGGTACTTCTGTAAAAAAGGAGACTACTTAAATTTGAATGGGAAATTGGCGTCGTCGCAATTAGTAACATAAAGAATACGAAAGTTAGCATCTTTTTTTTAAATTAATTAAAGTGTAAAACGTTTGAAGGCTGGTAAGATCAACAACATTTTCGGTGGATTTTTTTAATGTAAATAGAAATTGTCCTTTCCAGAACATCCAGTAAAGGAATACAAATCAGACAAATTTCGCATGTTTTGTTGAATTATTGCATGTCAACAAAAACTTAAATTTATAGAGCATTGCAAACATTCGTATAAATATTTGGATAAAAAATCATTATCGGACGTGGAGGACTGGGGTTAGATTAGCAGAATGTGAGGGCATTGATGGCTCACATTTAGTAGGCTCCGAATAAGTAGGGGGTTGGGCTGAGGAGGGAACCTTCTGTGTGCTTTGGAGTTTTTTCCACAGGTTATGTCTAGTTAATTAGCAATACTGACTGATAGGGGCTTCTTTAATTTATAGCCTTGACTTGAGTCATACAAATTTTCATTAATTTCTCAATTGCAGGTTATTTAAAAGAGAAAAATCTACACAAGACATTTAATACATTTTTACGAGAATGCCCAGATCTTGTGGAGTACTGGCAGCTGTTAAGGATGGGAAGAACACCAGCTACTACAATTTTAGGACACAGTCTTACAGAAATTCTAAATGAATTTGCAAAATACAAGTTAATTGCATTTGGTAAGCTTTTCAGAAGATATTTTCTTTTCTTTTAATGCTATCATGGTTATGTCTACTATGCGCTGAGCAATATCTAAAAGTCGCATCTCATTGTTGCGCCAATTAATTGGCTGAAAATTGGCCCATAGAAAAGTATTGAAACACACTAACATGACTTGGTTCCTCTCTTTACTACAGGCTTAGAAACTTTCACTATATCTATACAATACATCTTATTTTGCATTTAAATAGCTTGTGCATTATGCATTGGATTTGAAATAAAGTTTACATTCAATGATCCACATTAATGCATCAATTTTCAGGGTTGGAAGAATGGGGCTAGAAGAGCAGAATGTGAAGGAACATTTTTGGTATGAGCTGGGGTATCCTGAGATTTTAGAACAAAATTTTTAAAAATATTTCTATGTCTCTAATTAGAATATTTGAAAAACTTGTACTAGCAGTTTAGCTGGTAGTGGAGCAGGGAAGTTCGGGCCACATAATAATGCAATCAAAAAACATTTCCATTTATTTGGATCAATAAAAGAATCTTATCTTATCTTATCTTATAAATTGAGTCTCTTTCGGAATGCAGAAAGATGTATACTTTTCACAAACTGCTCATCTTAAAAAATAATTAATTTCTCCTGATATGAATCATTTCAAAGAAAATTAAAATCATTATGTTCATGAACATCAAAATTTATTTGTGTATGGCTTCTATGTTCATTCTTACCCATCAACTTATGCATTTTCTCTTTGATGGTGTAAGCAATATCCATCAATGGCACAGTTCTCGCTACTTCATTAATGGATTTAAAATTACTTTAGTGCAACCCTACTTCATTTTTTAAATATTTTTTGTGTGGGGTAAAATAACACAATCCTTCTTTATTAAACATTTCAATATTGTGTTTCTTAGATCATATTCACTTTATAATTTATTGGCTAGGAAAAAAATTAATATAAAATATTTAAAAATCATTCACTTTCCATAAAAAATATGAACTCTCAATGAGTTAACCTTTAAAAAGAAATGAACAAATTTGGTGCTAATTTTAAAATATGAACATAATCAGATACCAAATTTTTGACTATGCTAAGATCTTTTTGTATCATTCTTTGGTTATATCATTTTATTTTAGATTTTATATTAAAACTTTTATTTACAAAATTCGCACTTATATTACATGTTTTTTTTAACATTATTTTTTTGTTTTATTTAGCCTCAGGCTCCATGCCATTACAAAATTCTGTGATAGTTTTACAAACAAGCTCTACAGCTAAAACACTCCCGACAAAAGAAGATGTTCAAGCTTGTATTGCGGCTGAAGAAAGGGATCGGTTAAAAAAAGAAAAGCAGAAAGGTGGATCTTATTTTAAATTGTGAAACATTAAGAACATGATTATGTTGTTTTAAATAGTCACATTATTGACACCCATATGTTAAGTTGTGCATATTTAAAAACTTCTTTTTTAGAAAGGTTAATTTTGTATATCGTTATATTGTAAATACAGCTTTGTTTTGAAATCTTAAATATTTCCTTGTATGTTTTCCAGAAAATCTGACTTTTTATCAGAAATAAGGTGTATGAAATTGATATTTCTTTAACCATTTTTATTTTTTATTGCAGCTAATGACCAAAATAGAATCTGGAGTAAAACTTCATCTGGAGGTAGAAGAAAAAGGTATAAAAATAATCTATTCATTTTTATACATAGGAGCTGACAGAAAATTATTTATTAAAACAATAGCACAGCAAGATTTAGTCCAGAAAATTGTGACATTTTATATTTTAACACTTCCTTTTTGTTCCTTTTTTTTTCTAATATAGAAGTCACTCAACTTTCATGCACAAAATCATAATAAATCCAATTTTAAGATTCTGCTGAACAATGATCTGGTAAAAGCACTGTCACACCTTAACTTATATTGTCCATGAAATTTTAGGCAGCAACCAGAGAAAATATCAAGTAGCACCACAAGTAACCTTCTCCATCATCAAATCAGTGATAAACCCTTAGATACATCAGATACCAGAATAATTTTGAGATCGTCTGTTACTCCATCCCCAAGCACTGGAAATAATCAGTTTGATAGACAACCCCAAACTTATAATCCAGAAGGTCTTCAAGACGCAGACTGTAGAAGGACATCATTACCTTTGGCAGCTTATAATTTGTCACAATTGTGTAATAGTAATAGACCTTCATCAAGTGAGCCCAAAATTATTAGTTTAGAAAAATTATCCAGGCTTGATTTATCTACTAACAAAAAGTCTACAGTCAACTGTTGTGTAACAGGAGCTACTGACGTAAACAGATCAATTAATCCAGAATCATGTAATGAATCAGGAACAAGAAAATCTGAAGAGGTATGAAACTAATTGTATTTAGCAACATTATATTATCATGTATAATGCTGGAAATTTTGGGTAAAGGTCCTGCATAGAGTTAGGTGTTTGAATTATACGCAATTATTTCATTATGCTATTTTATTAATTACCTGATAACACTTTATATTGAAAAATGGCAACAAGGAAAATGTTTAAATGCTCTCCCCTTCTTTGGGCACATGTTTACTTTTTTTTTCGTAAATAGATAAATCACAATTTTTAAAGAATATAACGTCTATAAAGTCTGATTTTCATCAAAGTCTATAAAGTATGATTTTCATCAAATTTTTTTTCTTCCATCGATAAATAGCAACTTTATAAAAATTGGAATCGATTGTGAATGTTATAGCAATTTAGATGTAATTGATGATAATTCACCAGTTAATTTTGCTAGCTCTAGTAATACAGATTCCTGTTTTGAATTTAAATCCAGCAAAACACATGTTGTCCTTCTTATGGAGTTATTCAGTTTACTGTTATATAACATTTTGTTTCACTGGGGGTGGGGGATTCATTTAATGGGACAAGATTAACAGATTGCTTTATATGTGGGTTGACGTGGCATTTTAGGGCCTTTTTTTTTTTTTCCAAACAAGAAGTTAAGGATTTGCATCATACGTGGATCACGTTATGTGTGGTAATATACAATAATTTTCCATACGGGTCTTGGTGGTCACCCTTAGAGTGTAAGGAATAATATATAGTTATATTAGTGTCATAGTCACCAATGCTGAATGTATTGTGCACAAAATAAATATTGTTTGCAAGACATTTACACTTGCCTCACACCAAGTGCCCATGTTGGAATATGAAACTATTTTGTTTTTAAACAAATTATAGTTGGCAATTTATCACATAATTTTGCTTGCTGATTTTCTTATATTAGTTTAAAATGTGCTGCAGATTTTTTTCAAAAATCATTAAATATTTATTGCTTTAATTGTGTACTTGTAAAAAATGTATGGAGTTTATAACATATATATGACTTAATTTTTATATTATCTTGTTTGCTCTTTACAGTTTGATTTCTTAGATAAACTTCTACAAGATACACATCTGCATGAAAAGTTAGCAGAAAACATTAACAGAGCATTACTTAACCAAAGTGAATCTGCAGGCCTTTGTAAATCTGATGATCTGATTACAAATGAAGACCATGAAAAGGATGCCAACATTTTAAATTCCACTGAACTGCCCCATAAGGTTTGTTGTTTTTTAACACATGTATCTTTTTTGGATAACAAAACAATTTACCCCCAAATGATTTAAAATAATGTTCACCATTTTCATTGTACAATTTAATTTCTAGTGATGCAGTTTAAACTATTTTTCAAGGTGTACAGGATATTATAACTATGTGTAAATATTTTTTTCCACCTGCATAAAGCAAGTAAAAAAACTCCATGCTCAACAGTAATGCAGATATTAACTATTTTGTACTCAATCACATTTATATGAGCTTCTAGGATATTAATATTTTTTATAAGTTCATAACTGTTTCATTTACAAATCAAGACATTTTTTTATATTTTTGTCATAGATTGTAACCCAGCAATTTGAACAATTATATTTTGTTGTAATTTTTTTTTAAAATCTATATTTCAGCACACACTTTCCAAAGAGATTGACGTCGGTCAAGTTATAGAGATGACAGAATCTGATCCACAAATTTTCCAAAATTTCTTAAAATTATTTCAACATGGTAAATTAGCAAATAAATATTTGAATGAGATATTGAATAAATTTTAATTAGCTGTGTGTATGATGCATCATCCTGGTTTCCCCTAATATTTAGACTAAGAATAAAATGATAAATCTTTACAGCTGATTATATGAACAACTATTTTAAAATTAGAATACATGCAGAGATAAATCTTTACAATTGGTTAATGAAAAATTATTTTAAAATTATAATACAGACAGAGATAAATCTTTACATTTGATTATATGAACAATTATTTTAAATTTAGGCAACGTGCAGAGAGAAATCTTAACAATTGATTATATAAACAATTATTATAAAATTAGGCAACATACAGAGATAAATGTTTACGACTTTGGTGTGAATGTGATGGTGCTTTTCATTTTTAGGAACTGGAATATTATTCTAGTTGTGTATATTTCAAGATGTTAACACCCATAAGACAGCTTATGTGATTTCCAAAATGCTTTCCCCATAATCATATATTTCCTTTGTGTTTATGTCTTTACAGTTCCTGCCATTCCTATATCACACCTGGATGTTCCTGTACTCAATCTCACTGACCATTTGAGTAAAGAGCCTCATGAAAAACCAGCCACCTCCAAAAGTGTAGACTTGTTAGAGTCTCAGACCATTGGGTCTCGGTGTTCAGCTCCAGTTGAAAGAACTAAAGTTGATCCTAAAAATGAAGGCAATAATTCTACAGTTGCCAACTGTGCACAGCCGAACGGCTTTGCAAACTCTATGACATCACCAGATTCCAGAAATTTTACTGTGATAAGTCAATCTGTCCCATCTGCAACCATAAGCAATACATCATTAGAATCTGCAACGCTGGCTAATTTCCCCCATAATTCGACATCAAAAACTCTTAATTTGAGACATAATCAACCAACAAATGCTTGTGAGAATTCAGATGAAAATCAAAATTCATTTTTGGATGTTGAGGTCAGGAAATCTGAATCATCCCCTGAACCACCTGTTGTTGATGAAGTATCCACAAAGCCCCACACTGATGCCCCTTCAAGTCCAACAATTGCATCTCACCTCTTAAGTACTGAACTTGATAGCTTTGAAGTTTCTGAAGCAGACAAAACCCCTCTTGCTATCACAGAAAATATTCCATTGCCTCCTGCATCTACTTCTCAGCCTTGTCACATTTTCACAGATGATAACTCACTAACAGTATTCTCCCTGATAGAAAAGAATGCTGCTGAGATGATAGGTGAGAAATATGTGCACCGCTCTGAAAGAAATGAGAACAATTTTGAACCCAAGGAGACATTGCAGTGTAGTGCTGTCATACAAAATCAGCCTGATGCTGTCATACAAAATCAGCCTGATGGTGTCGTACAAACTCAGCCTGATGGTGTCGTACAAAATTCAAATTCTAATAATCATTTTGATAATACAGTGTTAAAAGATAATGCTTTTTCTGATGATTCGGGTGAGGAAAAATGCAAATTGCAAAACAGTGAATTGTCTGCTGTGGAAGGAGATCATGGTAATGCTCCCATTTTTATTGATGGGACTGACACCCAAACTACAGTAAAACCTTTTACTCCCACATTGGCTTCGCATTTTGATGAGAGTGAAAATGACACATTTGAACATGGGATTTCATATCCAGATAAAGTGCTGGTGAAACCTGTGTGCCTTTTAAACAGAAGTCTTGCCACAGTATATCCATGCTTGGCAAATCGCTCAGCAAGCTTAAAAACTCCTGAAGATGGAAACAAAGGGAGTGAACCAGCAGTTGAGCTTGAATGTGGGAATGGGGAATCTCAAGGGCAATCACTAGCTTGGGAGAAATCGGGTAGTGCCCCTTACAACACAAGGGAAGACTCCTCAACTTACCTCACATCGCAAAATGAAAACCTGGGAATTAGGACATTCGGGTCAACCCCTTCTAAAGATAACACAACCGATGTTACGAATGATGATGTGGTCTTTACAAATCAGGTCAAAGGCTGCTTATGGACAAATAAAAATGAAAGGAAATGTGATAAGGATGACAAATTAGTGGAAAAGCATTGTGAAAGTGATTGTGATTCCATCATTGTTGTTGATGACAGTTTAACTGAGAACAGCATATTTTTTAATAAGGGCAGTAGAAACTCTTCTTCTCCTGGTTACTGTGGTGTCATTCAGCAAGATGCTGATATTCATTTTAATGTCAATAATAAATCCAGTTTATGTAGCACTCAGGATAAAAACAGTGAAATTAATGGTGCTCCAAAACATGTACCTCCAGAAGAAAAAGATTCATATTTTAAAAAAACGATGTCGGCCGAAGATAAAAGCTCAAATTCTCTTTTTACCAGAACATTCTACGGACAGTGTAACACTCTGAGTTCCCCGCCTTACTCGGCAACGCTGCACTCTGACAGTAATTCACCCCGTAAGCTGACTTCTTGTCTCCCTGCTTACCCAGGAAGCTCCAGTTTACCGGCTTCTCTTGGTGATCGGAAACCTGGACACTTGAAATCACCAAAGAAGGGCCGCTGTCTATTGAGACAAGTTTCACCCAAGAAAAGACTGCAGACCACAAAGACGGTCATTTCAGTTCACAGTCACCACAGCCCTTTCATCCCAGCCCACTGCAAAAAAGCTCCCAGCAGAAGGATTACACCCAAAGTGGTTTGTCAGTCTACTCCTTCACCTCTACAAGACTTTCCTTCCAGCCCAATGACATATTCCTTAGATCTCCATCAATCATCCCAACCAAGCACCCCCTCTGGACCTCAGAAGGATGAAGACTGTTCAAATCCATCTATTTCTAATAAGACGTCTTTACCCATTAGCTTGAGTGTGAAAAGTCCTAATGTAGAGCCTGTGTCAACAAAAATTGCAGCTGATACTAATGGGGAGCACGGTAGTAAAATGAGGTTCCCATCCATCAACGAATCCCAGTTGGAGAGTTTGGGTATTCGACTTCCACCGAGTCCATCTCGAAGAAAACCCCGTAGGATTAAAACTATTCTGCTGTCATCAGAAGTTAAAAAAGGTACAAGATTTTTTTATTTTTTTAATGAAAATTTTTTTGTAGTTTTTTTTTTATTTAAAGCGATGACTAACAGACTGTTTCCTCCATCATAGTCGGCAAGCATCATTAAGACTGTAGTCCAGAGGGTCAACAAGACTTAAAGAAACATGTATGCAAATAGTGGTTTGGGGTGAGGTCAATTTTTGCTATTAAACCTGAGAGAAGTTGTTTTTGGGTACACCAAAACCTGATATCTATCTATTTTGATCTTAAAGAGTACAATTATTGTTCTTTAAAAAAGTAAATAATGAGGAGAGTTACAATGAGGAAAGTCAGGAGTTGTTTACAGATACAAAAAAAAATTATTTTTTAATTGCCCATAAAAAGTCAGTTAAGTATAAATTAATGGGAAATGGAGATGTTTGTAGTTGTAGCCAAATATTATGTGCACAAATATTCTTATTTACATAGCTTTACACAGCTCTACCCCAAAAGCTCTTCATATTTTTTAGCAGACTGCTTATACTTATATGTATAAACCGGCTTACCATCCAAGTCAAGTACTTAAAAGCTATTTAAAAAATCTTGTGAACACTAAATGCTATTTAAAAATCTTGTGAACACCAAAAGATATAATTTTTCTTGTTATACCATTGATAATTTTTGTATCATCAGAAATTTCTTTATGTTACGAAGTACTCAATTAAAAAATAAATGATTTACTTTTTTCTTCATCATAAGCTTTGAGGTTCAAACTAAGTCTTTATTTTAAACATTCAGTTATTTGATTTCTTTCAAAATCTAAGAAAGCAACTCAGACTTATAAAAATAATAAACCCCAATATCTAAAGGGAAAAACAGCTCATTTGAAACAAGGCAAAGTTAACCTGTGTGAAGAGATATTTATGATATGGCTTACAGTACAGTTTGTCATTAATCTATATATAATTACATGACACCGACTTATGTACAAAATCTCCTGTTCAGATGAACCCCTTTGCCATTTATTGTGTACAAAATATTTATAGCCCTTTAGCTTTATGTTAGTCATTCAAACAATACAGCAAAAATGAAAACATCATGAAACAATACAGAAACATTTGACTAAAACATTTTTATTTTGTAGAAACATTGGAAATTCCATTTTTTTAAATATATAACTTGTCCATTTATGTAAGTAATCTCAGCCAAGCTGTATATTTTTTTATTACTGGTAGCTTTCAAATTTGGTGTGATTTTTTTTTTTTTAAAGTAGCGGTATAGAAGATATCCCTAATTGTTTTATAACAAAAGGTTTGTTTAATTGGTATACACATGATGACAGGACTTATTTCTTAAATGTTTTATATAAATTAAAACAAATTTCAAAAAAAAAAAATATAGATATTGAAGGATTTAAAAGAATTTGATTCTAGCTGTAAAAGTTTGTTGGATTTTGTTATGTATTCAAGTAGTTATTTAATAGGGTTAATTTTATAAATAAGACATATCTGGCAGTGTCCTATTTTGTAACTCTAGGTTTCTTGATATTCCAACTTCCCTAAAATGACCATGACATATATTTACAAAGTTGCATCATCTTATTTCAGGTTGGTCGGGCTTTGTGAGGTCATTTTCTCCAATAAAACCTGACAGAGCATCACCACTTTTGGATGACGCCAAGGTCGTCTCCAGCAGCTCTGACCTCCTGAGTGCTTCTCAGTCAGAGGTGGAAGCCTTCAGGCTACTGTCTGTTCTCACCTCTTCCTATACCAAACCGCAACCCAGGCAAGACATAACATCCACAGACCAGGCTCGGAAACTTTCAAAATGTGGATGTGCGTCCAGAGAAACCTGTGAGCATCACAAGGGAAAATCCAAGCAAAACACGGTACAGAAGTCATCTTGTGATGCCGTCATGCAGAAGTCATCTTGTGATGCCATCATGCATAAGTCATCTTGTGATGCCATCATACAGAAGTCATCTTGTGATGCCGTCATGCAGAAGTCATCTTTTGATGCCATCATACAGAAGTCATTGTGTGATGCCGTCATGCATAAGTCATCTTGTGATGTTGTCATACAGAAGTCATCTTGTGATGCCGTCATACAGAAATCATCCTGTGATGCTGTCATAGAACTGGGGGGGGCAAATTCTGACTCATCAAGTAATGTTCATGGGATAAAAGAGCACAGAAAGTCTGTTCATGCATCTTCTGTCAGTGTTGCTAAGGATGCCAAAAGTGATGTGCCTTCAAAAGTAAATAATGTTTTGCCATCTAATTCAACTGGTAAAATTTGTGAAAAGCCCATTGAATTTGCACAGGCACCATTTTTAAACAATGATAAAAAATATTGTGATAATTATGTTCAGTCCCCTGTCTCTTCTGACTGTGAAAAATCATTTATACCTATTGGTATCATGGAGTTGACCCCCAAAAAGACCTCAGAGTGTAGAAAGGTCCTTGCAGTACCAACAAAATTTGTTAGCGTTTCAAACTCTCAATTTCAGCCTGTTTTTTCGAATGCTGTCACTGAACCACTCAAGACTGTTCAATGTGACCAAAAAGATTTATGGACAACAGGAATTTCTACAAAATCTCAGGTGCCGACGGACAATTTCTTGGTCAAATCTGGACAGAAAGAATTTGAAGCTCATCATGAGAATGCAGGGCTGGGGAATCACGTTTTGCCAGTACATTCCCCACACCATCCTTATTCAAAAGATGAATTAGGATCAGCGCAGCCACCAACAGGTGGAGATGTTCAAATCAGTGCTACATCTTCTAGTGTGACTTCTGTGTCATCTGTTTGTCATGATACAGTGCCTTTACTCATACAAACATCTACAGGTGGTCTTATGTCAAGCAGTTCATCTAGAAATGATCAGAACCCATCAACAAACTGTGAAAAGGCTTCAGATTTCAAGACAAATAATTTAAGCAGCCAAAGTGTGAGTTTCTCCACTTATACAGATCTTTTACCAGAAGCTCACAGAAGTGCTAACTCTTGTCATGTGTCATTTACCGCCCTCCTCACTGCCCCAATCTCCGTCACCAATGTTGGCCTATCAGATTCCATATCTGGGGCACTGAGAGTTGCAAATGATCTGGACACAGAGATTGATGGCTTACAATCCCAACAACACACTAGTGGGAGCCCTGCTACACGTGGGCCAAATGTTAAAAGATTGGAAATGATTGATGGGCAGGAAATGATGCATCAAATGGGTGGCAGTGCACATGATGACAAGTTACACCAAAACCACCAATCGTACACTAATGATGAATGCAGCTTACTGCGGCAGGCAATGTTAGAATGTGACATTCCTATGGAAACCTTCCACAGATTAGGGGGTGGGGACGGTGGTAAAGCAACATTGATACCATCTTCAGGACAGACCCCAGTCATGGTAGATCACACTGTAACATCTCATAATCCAAGGAACATCAAACCCAGTGTTACAGATAATACACATTCCATGGCCGGCATTCCAAAAGTGACAGGCAAAAGGAACTCTGTGGAGCCGCAAGGTAGAAGAAAGAGTAGAAAGCTGTCAAATCAGAAGCCTCACACTGTGCAGAAGCCAGCAAAAATTCTACCCTTACTGAGTACCTCGTCTCCACTTTTGGATAAACTGCATTATTTGAATCAGGCCTTTAATTACAGAAATATTCTACCAGCTCCGTCTCCAACGGTGCCGTACCCATGCAGTGGTGATGCTACTGGACACATCAGTGTGGTGCACACAGAGAAAGGATCCATCATAACCATCCCTCCAGACTATTGTGACATTATGAATAATCTTTTGGCCGAAGAAGGTGTCCATTCAGCATTACCTAAGCTGGTGGGAAAGCCATTACCTATGTCAGTTTCATCATCATCAATTGAAGCTTCACCGTTCACTAATGTTTCAGTTACTCCTCAATCAGTTGCTTCAGCCACTCATGTTAAAGCTCTACACAACATTGTCAGCCTGGCCAATGGGATCCCAAGAGCAAAGTCTGATGTCTCAAGTGATAGATCAAAATGTAAGAATATAGCAGATTCAAATGAAGTCCCTTCTGAATGTAGTGACCGACAAACACCTCTAAAAATATCAGATATTAATGTATCTAACAGTAATGCCAACAACCATGTCAAGATGGTTTCAAAAATTGCTGACAGATTGAGGAACAAGGTAAAGAAAACAGATATTTTGGAAAGCGCTGTCTCTAAACAGACTTGTGCACAAGCTGAGGCCACTGCAAACAGTCTGGTCAAATCTGATCATGAGATGCCAAGTACACATAGAAGGGACAGCCCATGTGACTTGGCCACTGCAAACAGTCGGGTCAAATCTGATCATGAGTTGCCAAGTACACATAGAAGAGACAGCCCATGTGACTTGGCTACAACAAAGGAGAATGCTATCCCACAGCTTGTTGGTAAAAAACAAGAAATTTGTGCTCCAGTAGAAGTTGATTCAGGTTTACCTCAAGAAACCTTTCGAAGGAATGTCCACGCAGAATTCTCTTCTGATGTTCAAAACACTACTCGGGTTACTGAAAGTAACAAGTCTAGCCATTCTCAAAAACCTACTTCTCGAAAGAGAAAGATATCTGTGTCAGAACTTCCTGCAGATAAAAATACAAAGCTATCTCAGTCAGAACTTCCTGCAGATAAAAAGAGAAAGATATCTCAGTCAGAACTTCCTGCAGATAAAGAGAGGAAAATTGACTCTGTAGCAAAAATTAAACGCCCAAATGGATCAGACAAAAATATTTTTGAGGAAATGCAAAGTAAAACCCCAGGGAAGAAACTCTTGAAACTACCAACTGGCCATGACCTAAAAGATATGAAGGATCCAGGTACGACCGGCAAGAAAAGTTTACTCTGTGATCCTAAAGCAAAGCACGGTAGTGATACAGTTCGTAAACCCACTAAAACCCATAATTCTAACGACAAAACTCTTCAAGAAGAAAACATAAAAGTTATTACACAACGTCACTTAAGCAACAGAGATAAACTACAGACAGGTAAATGTCCACCTGGGAAATCATTAAAATTGTCACCTCAAAAAGTGGGATTTAGTGGAAAGCCAGACCAGTGTTTAGAGAAATGTGATAAAAAGAGCATCAGTAAAGAATTAAATAAAAACATAGTGCAAGTTCATCCCATTACCAAGCAAGGAACCGGTCATGTTGGCAGCGTTGCAGTCAGGTGTGCATGTGAAGGTGAGGAAATAGTCAATGCATGCACTGACTATGAAGTCTGCACAGCCGAGAAAACTTCTCCATCAAGGAGGCGTGTTGACTTGAAAACAGATACTCCCCTAAGAAATGCTCTTATGAGAAGGAAGAAGGTAGTTCCTCCAGAAAGAACGCCAGTCAGCATAAAGTGTTTGAGTGGAAATGATCAGGAATTTACACACATCTCACATGTCAAAAACAGAAATCTCTCTGTTCAAAGTGGGTCTGTAGTATACAAGTTGAACGAAGACAAGTATATCGGCACTTTAGAACTAACTCAATTTGAGTCTTTTTTAAACATAACATCTAATTCTCCATTCATTAGAGAACCTTCAGATGTTGCATTGGTCCCCAAACCACATGCTAAGGTTTGTACTGTAAGTAAAGATGAAAGTCTTAAGGCGCAGGCTCAGACAAGCAAGGACAGTTCTCAAACAGCAACCGAGGTGCAGCTTGAAAACTTTAATCTCCAGAACAATTCTTCTTTAGGGCAACATTTAAATCAAGAAACAGAAAATGCCGTTAAAGCCCTAGAACTTTGCATGGCTGAGCCAAGCGAATTAGTACAGGATACATGTAAAGACACAACTTCTAGTTCTGCAAAGAGTATTGAACCAAGGCCTCATGATAAACATTCAAACTCTCCTCAGCATAAAGCCATATTCCATCAAGATACAGCAAAGGTCGGCCAGGTAATCTCTTCTCCTCTTAAGAAACATTTACCACCCAAAAAATGGTTGTCGTTTGAGGTTTTCCCCAATCCACCTTGTGCTTCAGGACAGGATCTTGATACGGTCCCAGCAATTGGTAACACTGAGGTTCCTGTGTCACCAACAGCTCACAATTACCGGGCAGCATGCATGTCAGTGCAACATCCAATGTGTTCAAACACACCTGCATCTAAAGCTCAAGTTTCGAGCTCAGCGGTTCTAAATGTTGAATCTTTAAAAAAATTAATAGATCGCCGAGCGCCAACTACCCTCGTTCAAGTATCTACATGTTCTGTCTCAGACGCACATTCATCCAGTAGTCCATGTTCTTTATCTGGATCAAAATATTCTCAACCATTTGAAAAGTCTTGTGATGGTATACTTGATGTTTCAAGAGTGATGACTTCAGAAAGTGGACCAGATGTGACAGAAGCAACAAAGCCAATGAGTTTTTCTGATTTGAACAAGTCTTCTGGAAAAGCTGAATCAAATTCTAATTCTTCAACATCCAATATGGTAAGTCTTTAACATTTTTAATTATTATTTTTGCATATATATATTTATTTTTGTAATATCTATTTATACCTGTAACTGATATCCTGAATGTATTATTTTAAAATAGACTTAATAGATGTTCATTTAATATTGTGCCTTGCAAGTGTGTCAAAAATGAATTTTTTCCAGGAACTGTGTCCTTTCAAATACATTTATCTTTGTATTTAAATGAATCCATTAATCATTTTAAGTGTTTTAATCACTAGCAAGAATTGTGTGATGAGGCTCTGAAACTTGGACCTAACTAAAGAAAATTAGCTGAAAATGTTCATTCAACAGCTGTGATCTAAACACTCCAACACAACATTTTTAGAAGATGACTTTTGGCTCTCATCTCCTATGGTTTAAAATTTGCTTGGTTTATTTTATATCTTTTTCCTACCTACACTGAGGACATTGGCTGTTGACTGAATCAACATGCTAAACTCGAATGAAATGAAGCTCTTTGGGGGAAAAACTAAATTAACCTGCATTAGGTGCTAAATATTCATATTTAATTCTGATTGTCAAAAGTAAAATTTATATGAATTTTAGACAATGATTAGTTTGTCCTTAATTATATTTTCATGTGTTCAACTTTTTTCCATGAACTCCCTGAACAGTCGAACCTGGCTTGTAGATGGCCTCGGGGTTTTCCAAAAAAAGCGGCGAGATAACCGAAGATCGAGGAAAAACGAAAACCAATATATATATTAACATGTGCTTGAAATTTCTTTATGTAAACGATGTGCGTTTATAAATGAGAATGTACATGCACATGTTTTTGGAGTTTTTTTTTTACACAACAGCATTACCCCGATGAGTTTGAAATGATAATTAATCGGCATGCTATAAAAATGTACATACATGTTTGCTAACAAAACAAGGCATATGTGGGGTGCCACTTTTCCGGATAATTCTGGATTCGTGAGGCTAAATATATTTCAGCTCCGGATTTGCAAGTTTTTATTTTCTCTCGCTCCTGATTCGCCAGTTCGGTTTATTCAAATACAGATTCTGGGTATTTTAAAACAAACAACGTGTAAGAACACTTGAAAGCCTATTAAGAGACAAGTGGGTTCGCAATAAATAGAACAGGTACTGCAACCCCTTTCTTTTGTTTGCAAGCCTCTCACTCATTGCTGTGTCAAGTTAATTGCCCGTACAACGATATTGCCAATTCATTTTAATTACTACAGTTTGAAGTAGGCACATTTCTGCTGTATATAAATTTCAAAAGCCAGTGATTGGTCATGGGGATCGAGATAACTGAGGTTAAGTGGCAAATTTGGCCGCCTTTTGTGCTCGAGGTCTCAGGGTTTTGCAACATAAAAGAATCGACATAACCGAGGAGAAAATGCTAAGACAAAGAGAGAATTTGGTGGTTCCACTTCCAAAACGTCAACATAGCAGGGTTGGCGAGTTAACCGAGGTCGAGATATGTGGGTTCGACTGGGAAATAAACCAAACTTAAGGAAACTGCCTCAACAATGGATCTTGATATTATTTTCAATACAATATTTTTCACTCTTTAGGGCTCTGCCCTCTTAATGGTTTTTTCAAGTAATTTTAGCGTTATCTTAAACATATGGATTCAACAGCATCAAAGACAAATTGAAAAACCCTGATGTTGAGCTTGGATTTTAAGGTTTTATTTGATTAAGATTTTTAAAATTTTGTTGTCTCAAAATGAGCAAATGCAAAGTTTGAAGTTCCCATCAGTTTACAATATTTTTCACGCTAAATGTTTAAGGTTAACATGGCAACTGTGATTCTTCTTTTAGCATGTAGTTTTCTAATGGGGTTGTGTGTAAACAAGTTGAATCACTACCTGGTGATACTTAGAGCTCATGTTGAAATATATTAAAATACTGACACTGGCGTTGACAGTCTCCAGGACAAAAGCCACTGACCACACAACAAAGAAAATGTTCTTAAAATCACCTGTAAAATTAAACTCTGGTTCGTAGGCCATTGTGAAAAAAATGAGTGATCCTGGCATGAAACAAATTATAAAAACTGTAGAAATAAGGGCTATCATCTTTACAGCTCTTTTCTCTTTCATTGACGCACTCTCAACGTTTGCGCCTGGTTTTGTCACACTACTCCGCCATTTGCTCTTGGTATTTAGCTGGACAACTAGTATAATTGTACAAACGATGACAACTAGCAGAGACAAGGCCTGGAGTGCAACACTATGAATGTAGAATATAACTGACTCGACCGCCTCTCTTTCTTTGGCATACACCAAATGAAGTATGGTCCCGTTCTGCCACTCTAACCGGTTTGCATAGTAGAAAGGTGAGAAGATTGCCATGGTGAAGAAGAATATAACAATTATCGTCCACCTGGTCCTGTGCGGGGTGATAATAGTTTTTACCTTGAGTGGCAAGGCAATGCATAAGCACCTTTCAAAGGTGATAAAAGCAGTGATGAATCCTGTTATTCTGTAGAGTAAAAAAAAAAAAATTTAAGTTTTATTCCAACAGAACTAGCAACTATTGAGTAGCATCTGGCATTGAATTGAAAAATATGCCCCAGATTTTGTCGTTTTCTGTTTCATTCAGTATGCCTTGAATAGATTTGTTGTTTTTTTTATGACAGAGGTTAGGCTCATAATTTCACTGGCATTGGTTGTCCATGCTATTTTTAGTCTTTACTTAACTCTTCTCATGTGCTTTATGACTTGTACATGGACATTGATAAGTCACACACATCACAATTTAAGTAAAAAATTTGCATCATTTGCTTATGTCTTAATTCCTACCACAATAGGCAAGCTATATGGGAGATAAGTATTTGATAATTAAAAAAAAACAAAAAACTTTTAGAGTTCTGGCTGAAAGGACAGCCTTCAGTGTTTTTTTTTAATGTACCTGAATAAAATTTGATTTTTTTTTATCTTATTGAGCTACTTATTAGTATCACATGCTCCCAACACTCAATCCTATTGTGTCCTCTTGTCAGAATTAGAGACACCCCTTTGCCAACTGCATTCTCAACTGTTAATTTTGAATTGTCTCTAGTGTAATTGCTATTTGACAACTATTAGCATACCTATTGAAACATGTATGGGGATAGCCTCCAGAAAGATACATGAGGTCCAGTGAGTTAAATGGAACTCCTGAGTTGGCAAACAATGGGTTATAACAAATGCTTGTCCATAACATCGTCAAGAGGCTCATCAAATCTGCTATGGTCAGCCCTAGAGTGAGAACAACGCTTGCATAATTTATAAGTTTTATTAATGTGCTTTTATAAATATGCTTTTAGTTTTCAGCTAGGGCCAGTTTGTCTCAGAAGTTAATTGAAAGAACATTTTAACTATATGCAGAGCTAGTAATACAATTGCCAAAATATTGAAGTTGGTACTATGTAACTCTGAAATGTTGAAACCTAAAAGCTGCAGATAGATGTATTGATAATTAATTTAATATTTAAATAAAAGGCCCTGTTCTAAAAAAAAATTAAATTAAGTTAAAAGAAAGCATTCATGTAAACTTCCTAGCAGATCAGGGAATCAAGTTTGTTACTGTCTTGTGAAACATAATGGCAGTATTTCCAGGCCAGAGCACTTACCCATCAGACTGATGTTAGTGGTGTCTGCATAGCCTTGTTTCCTAAAGACTATAATGTTAAGGATGTTTCCTGCTATCCCAAAGAGGCTAATTGCCCCACAGAGGCTGACATAATTAACCAGCTGAAATATTTCTCTCATCTCATTGCTAGCCAACCTCAAGCCAAGGTTGTGTCTATCAAAAATAGACCAGACTTTCACTATTAAACTTGTTGTTGGATCTGATATTGGTGTTTCTTCTGTTGAAAAGTTCATTTTTGAATTTCCAAGAGCATCCATTTACTGAAGTAATGGTCTAAAATTAATGGTAGTTCTTTTAAAGCAAAATACTTGTCTATAATATTGGCGTTCGTATGTCCAAATCTCCTAACATTGCATCTCTTGAATTTTATATTTTAAAAAATATAAACTTTTTAGAATCTTTGTAATTTTAACTGTGTGTGTTATTAAATATTTATTTGAAAATTATTTAAATGTTACATACCCTTACACTTACACAGATTAATAAGTGTGGATAATTAGTTTGTCAAAGTTTTGGGAAATTACCATCCTTACGTAATTAGTTGTTTTTTAAAGAGCAAGTTAAAAGTGTCCAAATCTTTAATATCACTAGTGACATAGTTGGTAAAGCATAAAAAAGGAGAGTTAAGTGGTAATTATTTCATTTTTTTTTAATCTGTCCAACCATTCCCACTGCTAACAGTATGTATCATCCACAAAACGTTAAAATAATTGGTACATTTGATGATACTATTGATTACTTAATTACAAACACGGGGTTAAGTGTGTAAATATCCAATCATTAAACCAGAACCAATTAGAGAAATTGGATATTTCAAAGTGCAACAAAATTGATATGTTCCAGTGTCAAGATAATTAAATATTATGTATTTCAGACCTAATCAGACCAATTAAATTGATTAATATGCAAAGAATGAAGCTTGCTGACTTGTCTGCATTTATTTACTACAAAATTTAACACTGTTTTGTTGAACATTGAAAATTTATTCAGGTAAAATATGTACTGGTACATTTCACTTTTCATGTAACCTTTCTTTTAAGTGCAGCAGTTTGTTTTGTATGCTAATTTCATTTTACTTCTGTAATTTTTGTTTAAATTTTGTCCATGGCATTCTACTAGGGAAAACAATTTTTTTCCTCTAAATACTAAAAAAGATTTTTCTTTCAAGGGTGTGCTGTGTGCCTCTTTTCCTTAATTTTATTTGTATACAAGGGTAGCTATATCAAATATTGGACTAAGGCTAGCCCACCTACTTTATGAGCAAGTGTCCAGTGATAATAGTTTTAGAAAGATTGTATTTCATGTAAATAAGCTGAAACCTATATCAGTGTGTCAGTGTGTATGTATTAGTTAAATGTAGGTTTGAGAGCATCTTCTGTGATTCATTTATATAATTTGTGCAGCTGTAAACCTCAAGTCCTCATTCATTTATTCAATCAGTCAATTATTCATTTATCATTTCCTTTATCATTTCCATCATTACCAGGAACCTTTCTATGGACATTTATATGATGAACATTTCATGTTTTGTAGCTTTCAGTTTCTGTATTTATCTTCGTGTTATTATTTCTTGATAGCCGGTAGATTTCATTAGATTAAGTTAAATGTTATTATTTCATGTTAGCCAGTAGATTTCATTAGATTATGTTATATGTTATTTTAGAGTTAAAGAAAAGCACATCCTTTTGCTACTCATCCACCTCCTTCTGTCTTATCTATCAGTAGAGTCTCTAATTAAATCTACCTTTGTTACAATCATTAGTGTCTCTTATTAAATCTACCTTTGTTACGTTCATTAGTGTCTGTAATTGAATATACTTTTGATACATCCATTTAATACATTAGCGCCTCTGGTCTGTTTCCCTAAATACTTATGTTCCAAATTATTAAATTAAATAAATTACTCGTGGGTATATATCATTATTAACCTACTGTGTGCACGCTGGTTTGTTTAGTGTAGAGAATAATGTATAATTTATATTCTTTTATCTCTCCAGGATTCTCACGCACCCATTTGCTTATCCCAGAAGTCTCAGATTGACAAATTATTGAAGAAACTTCACAGAAAGAAAAAGAACATTAAGTCTTGAGTTTCCTACAGAACATTTATTCAAGGAGATACACAAGACCTGAATTCAATTTGTCATGTGTTGGCTACAAGAGACATAGAGACCTGAATTCAATTTGTCATGTGTTGGCTACAAGAGACATAGAGACCTGAATTCAATTTGTCATGTGTTGGCTACAAGAGACATAGAGACCTGAATTCAATTTGTCATGTGTTGGCTACAAGAGACATAGAGACCTGAATTCAATTTGTCATGTGTTGGCTACAAGAGACATAGAGACCTGAATTCAATTTGTCATGTGTTGGCTACAAGAGACATAGAGACCTGAATTCAATTTGTCATGTGTTGGCTACAAGAGACATAGAAGAAAGAAATCGAGCCGGTGCAATATTTATTGTGTTCAAGTGTAAACATCAGTTGTTGTTTTTTGTTTAAACTTGATCTACAAAGTTCATTAGAAATTTTATCATGCCTTGTTGAGGTAGATATGTCAGGTAAACATTTCAGGTAGATTTATTAATAAAATACTTATTTATTAACCAAATTTTACAAGTTTAGTTAATGACTGTATTAAAATTTGAAAACTTTGTTGATTAAGGACAGTGCAAAATGTAAGTAATGCTGTAAATGTTACTTACCGTTAGATGGATTTGGCAAATTTAATCTGTTTTAAGATTTGGCCTGTTTGGTGAACAGCATGTAACAAAGGACTAAAACTAAGCTAGTAATATGAATGATATTCCATTTAATTTGTACTATTAAGTTTGTATTAAAAAATACAAAATCAAATAAATAGAAATAAAAACTATATTAACTAACTGCCCAGCAAGTGAAAAAGTATAATCCTCGAAAGATACAAATATTAATATACACACCCACAAAAAGATTACAATCTTGTAAGGGCCCCCTATTAATATATTACGTGCTTCTTGTGTAGGAAATCTAGCAAATCTCTTCTGGCTGGGAAAGCTGCTTGCTTATTTATAGGGAGGGTGTTAAGACCCTCCAGAATAGAAATAAATAAATAAAACATAAATAACCTTTTCCCAGTTGAGGGAGGGGAGGATGTGGTACAACGTTTCACATTTAATCTGTGACATCTATATCAAAACTGAGGGGGGGGGGGATTGAATGCCACATCTTGTGAACAAAAAACAAGGTCACTACACAAGCTATAACAGAAGAGCTGCAATCCAAGTATAGTAATCCCAACTGGTTATACCGGCAAGACATGGAATATTACCACAGAAAAAACATCCTACACACTACTGGATTCCATTAATTATGCTATAGAAAAGGGGATGTGCTACTTTGATAACACAGAAACAAATTATAAAGGTCAGAACACATTGCCTTGCAATGACTTTTACTGTTTCCAGTAATTTTTTGCTGGATAAATCTTGTGAACTGAATTGCATTCAAGATAATATAAGATGGCATTGTATATTTCAAATTTACGACAACATTTTACAATTATAACAGTTTAATCTCAAAATAACTGAAGTATTTCCCTAGCATACTAGCAAAGAAATCTGCCATCAATGAACTCTTTTAGTAACAATTATGACTTAATTAGTGATCATTTTGATTTGGTAACGGCTGCGGGGAAAGAGTAACCAAAGAAGGCCAGAGAAGAATTAGGGTGAGTGATAGAAAAATAGAAAATCAGCCTTAAAATGTTTTTAAATAAGTAGTCATTTCACATGTGTAAGGAACTGACTATATATCACTAGAGACTAATATAATTTTAATACATCTATGTCTTTTTCTGAAAGTTTAAGTTGTTCATTGGAATTTGTTGATTTGTCAAATTTTGTCAATCCGTATGTATCTGATATTTAGGCTTTAAATTTAATTATGATGGGGAAATTGTTTAAAATCAGACACGGTTATAAAATTGGAGAATATAATCACTATAAAATTGGAGGGTATAACTATTTTAACACTGAAGGGTATAACTACCATTACACTGGAGGGTATAACCACTATAACATGTGAGGGTATGACTACTATAACATTAAATGATTCTAAGCAAATGTCAATTGAATTAAATATTTATCAATGCTAAATTATTCATTTAAAATTAATTACTTATTTGAAAATGATTCAGTTTATGATTATGACATTTATTTATTTATTTAGGCATTTTTATATAGCGCTTACCATAAAGCTCTAAGTGCTTTACAATTATTAAAAACATGTAAACTAAGTAAAATAAAAAATAAAAATGAGACACTAGGATAGTAACTACTATACTATAGAAACAATGAAAATGGCTATAAAACGAGGACACTTTGTCACGTTTTGGCCTATGCTTCAGGATCAACCCGAAACAGAAAATGAGGCAGGGCAAGGAGGGTGCATCACAGGTCATAGGCGGACCTAAACAGATGAGTTTTAAGGGACTTTTTGAAAATGACATGTTGAAATCCTGGCCCACAAAAAAGCCTTGGCTATGAAATATCAGGGCTATGCTCTGGCACTATTACTCCCTGCTATTGTGTTAAAAAATCCTCCTTAATTCCAAACATTTCTGAAACTTAACACACACAAAACGTTTTTAAACTTAAACACAAAACAAAAAATTCTAATACTAGAAGTCTATGTAACTTAAAGTTAAAGTTATTATTATTATAGTAATCATCTACCAGTACATTTAATAAAAATGTTTAAAATATATATTTATATATATAATAATAATAATTTCTGATTTATTTCAAATACAAATTAATTTTGTACTAAAACTGTACTTAAAATTTAGCTGCTGTTTTTTTATTTATTTTTACATGGCCCATGTTTTATAAGTGTATTTATTGTCCCAGCAACCTCTTTAACAATATTAAAGTTTTACCAGCAGCAAAAAAATTATGGGTGATTCTATACTTTTTAATAAAAGTGGTATAGTTTTCTACATGTTACATATCCTTTTGATAAGTATGTCATGTGTCAATAATTGTGTCTTAAAATGATTCAACATTGTCAATAATTGAATCGCCATACTCATACAAACATATAAACACACAACATTGGTAACAATTTTCATCTGAGCAATTATGGCCACCCAACCGTCACCCTCCACCTCTGTCATTCAGGCTAGAAGAATGAATGCATTAGATATAAAATAATTTGTATTTAACATTAAACAATCCTTTTAATTTTCGGACCCTTTATAACTTTTTCCTCTTTAAAATCCATTCTGATTCCTCTCCTGTATTTGCTAAAAAAAATTTCGCTGTTTGATTTCAAATTGAAAATTTTAGT